GTAGTAGTAGTAGTAGTCGTAGTAACAGTTGTTGGAGTAGCAGTGGCAGTAGTAGTATAGTTGTTGTTGTTGTTGTAGCAGCAGCAGCAGCAGTAGTAGAAGCAGTCGTCGTCGTAGTCGTCGCAGTAGTCGTCGTGCAGGAGCAGCAGCAGCAGCAGCAGCAGCAGTTTTTGTCACCCACCCGCAGCAGCAGGAGTAGTAGTATCCGTAGTACCAGTAGCAGCCGTTCTAGCAGTACTAGCAGGAAGGAGGAGGTTGCCGCGTCGCCTCAGCAATCCACGGCGTCTGCTCATCATCGGCTGAGGCCCAGCAGTCACAGCCGTGCCATCTGCGGATCGAGCAGATAGCAGATTGTTCCGAGTGAGTTTGATCACTCTTAAGAATGCACTCCTGAGAATCGGTTGGACACAAGAGAGTCAAGACCGTGGTTAAATTATGCTAATTATGGTGTCCACGCCTGGGTGAGCAGAACGGGACACGCCCTCGCCACGCTTTGGGCTGGACTCCTCCACGGCAAATCCGGGAAGGCCTTTCGAGACGATGCGCTTAGGTCGTGGAGGGTGTGAAGGCAGTTGCATTCAGTGCACGTGTGCCCAACACCTCCGCGGCTTGGATGTGAAATCTTGCTTGTCGTCTCCGTTAAGGTAACTCAAAGTTTGGGCGTGCTTTTCAGCACGCTCAGGTCTGCGACTTACTAGGTTGGCAAAGCCACACGAAGCTGCAGACATACTCGAGTGAATGCACAGCTTCGCACCACGTGGCCAACTGGCGAAGTGCGCCGACTTCGCCACGAACTTGAGCCGAGTGTGCTGAAAACTACGCCCTAATGTTGAGTTACTTCAACGGACCCGTCAATCGTCAAGCATAATTTCGCTTCCAAGCCACGAGAGTCTTGTAAATGTAATCGCTTTGGACAAGGTGCCAAAACAGACATGTGACGCCGACACGCGGCCAAATTTCAACCTGTCACCCTCTAGATCTGAGATACTTTTGGACCCTGAAGAGACTAGAGCGCCTGGTCGGGCAGGTCGAGGCCACGGCCTTGTGCGAGCAGGCAAGTTGGGCAGCACGAGACTTGAGAGTTTCAACTTGGTTCCTCCAGAAGAAGCCACGGCTGCATATCATCAATTCGTTCCACATGCGAAACGAACCCTCTGTGCCCGAAGAATCTGGGACTGGATACCGGCAGTCGGGGCCGATGAAGTCCAAGTGAGCGTTCTTCACCTTGTTGTCTTATCTCGGCCATGCGAATTCCCACACATTCCCCCCGCTCAAGAAATTCTACAAAGCACTGTTCATGCACCACATCCAGAAGATTCCAAGATCCCACAATATCAGAGGCGCACCAGATGAACCAGCACACCAAAATCAGTCTCTGCCAGAAGCCACGGTCTCAAGCACCTGATCTCCGTTTCCGGACTGGACCGCTCACGTGTCTTGAGGCATTCGGCCATTACGGGGCATGTGGGACGATGAGCCGGGACCTTCAAAGTATTCAAAAAGGGCTGGAAAGGATCAGCTTGAAAATGCTTTTGCAGCTGCAGGAGTCCCAAACCCTCGGACAGCTTTCGAGCAAGGCTTCAATGTTCGACAGGACAAGACAAGCCAGGAAAGGAGCGTGAAGCTGCAACGCTCATACAGACTCAAACACCCACAACTCAGGGCAAAACCCAACGACAAACCTTCAAATGCCTCTGATTGCAAACTGGAGTCTAGCGGCCTAGCATCAAGGCCAAAGCTTGAAGCTGACCCTAGCCTAGGCCACTTTGACACTGGGCCGCCTCAATCTGGCCAGTATCAGGCGGTAGATCACGCTGTAGCCTGAAGCCAGGCTTTACACGGGCACACAGTTGGCACAGAGCACGGCCGAGGGCGATCCGATTGATGCACAAGGGATCCTTTTCGTCCCTCGCCGATTGCAGAAGCGCATGCTTGGGATCTTTGGCCCAACCCGTAGCTCCGTAGCGGTGCGTAAGACACTTGCAACCAAAGCTGCAGCTCCACAACCAATGTCGTCCAGGAAACAGGTATAGGATCACCAGTCCGTTAGCTGATTTGACATAGAAGCGACGAACTGCCTCGCTTTGGCGCCTTCCTGGGTGAAACACGATGCCGGCCAAACGCACTGCAAGCCGAACATGGCCTAAACGCACATCTTCGAATAGATCGACATGCGCATCTTTCATGGAGCCGAGCACCTTTTTGGATGCTTTGCTAACTTCTGCACGACATGCCAGGTCAAGTTCAAGCATGTGCACTTTGGCACAACGTTGCGGCTCACTAACTCGGAGACACATCATTGCAAAGCCTGCCTTTGCTGCGACAGCCATAGACCCAGTCGTGGCTTCTTCCGAGTGTCCAAAATCTCTTGTGATTCTGGCATGTCTCTCTTAATCCTCAATTCCTTCCCTACTGCTCGCGAGCGGCGGGGAATCTGGCCTGCTGAGTGACGGCCTCGGAAGATTTAGGACAGACGTTGCGGAATTTGCCTTGCATCTTGCTCTGCATCCATTCGGAAGCAGCCTAAGACGCTGGCAAATCCCGTGGTCCCCGGGCACGCCGGGCAGAGGAAGCACCTGAGGAAGTGTCGGGTGTGTGTTTCGGATCGTTTCCTTGTTGACAGGCCAAGCGGCGCTCGTAGGGAACAGGGCTTGGCGACTGTGTTTGCAAGAACGCAGGATCCCGATCCAGCAGCACCATGCCTCGGGTTTCCGACTTGCAATTGTGTAGTGTCACGCGCCGGAAGAAAATACTCCAAGCGCAACAACGTCCTGTGACTAATTGCTCCCTACCGGGAATGGACTGTCGCATTTGGCTTTGCTCAGGAAGGGCAATCCTTTTCCTTGTTTCGAAGGAGCCCTTGATGTCCACTTTCTTGTCGCAGCTCACGCATCTGGCATGAAGCGGCGTACGCCAGATTGCAGCGTTTGACTCCTGCAAGGAAACTATCTTGCCGTTCAAAAGCCTTGTCTGTCCCTCAAACCCCTCTCTCTGTCCTTTTCACCAGCTATGAGCTTCTCGAAATTCTGCCACAGCATCTGAAACTGTCCATGTAGAAGCCGCATCTGCTCTGCGAGAAATTCGGTGTCATCGATTTTGGCCTGCATTCCACACTCTCTTTCTTTTTTGGTCCATACAGCCTGAAATCTGCTGCGGTGCCTTGTCGGCCATTGCCCGGAAAAACTCATCTCTCAGCCTGTGGCTGCATCTCACCGCTTGCTGAGCTCCCTCTCCAAGGGTCCGAGCTCTCTGAGCTCTCCGCCTTTCCATTTCACTGCGCATCACCTCAAGCCGTGCGCGACGCTGGAAAGGCAGGACAAGCCATCCCATATCTTGACCAGTGCAAGCCCCCCCCAAGCTGATTGCAGATCAGCGTCGGCTTCGAAGGCACTGAAGGTCTCCCTCAGCACATGGGGCGACCTTGGGTGTAAATCAATGATTGCTGTCACCTTGGCACACGATCTTCCAAAAGCTTCTTGCCCGTCTACAGGTGCACAGTTAAGGTGGACAGAGCCGAGGCATGTCTCAGTTATTTTACTTAGGCTGCCGTTCCACTGTGGCCTTGGTGGATTCTGCGACTGCGGGCGGCCGTGAGGCACGAATGGCATTCCAGACTCTCCGCCGAACAACAGTTTCTGCATGGCGACCAGCACGTCCATCTAACAGGGCTCAATCTGCAACTTTCACATGTGGATCAAGAAACGGTCTAACAACACAGAGAGAGAGAGAGAGAGACTACGCTCATGCATGGTGCTTGCTAAACCTTGTGGTCTCTGATCAGCCTGACTGTAGCCTTCAAGCACAAGTTGGACTCTAGATGCCTGCAGATCATTAGTCTGCTCTGAATGCATGTCTTTGACTCACGCGCCAGTCCTCCGATCCCTCTCCAGTCTCGCCCGTGCCGCCGCCGTGGCGGCGCAGAAGCTCGCTTAGAAGTTGCAAGAGTTGCGGCAGCGCTGCCTCAAATCGCATCTGCCTGGACAGGCGGCAGGGTTGCAGTGCCGGCGTACTGACATTGCACCCTGCGCGCCCTACACCTTGCACGCTCCAGCATACAAGCATTGCTTCTGGAAGGCTGCCGGGCAGCAATCTGGAGAAGTCTCTCACAGCATCTTCCATTTTCGAGGAAAGGATGCCCAAAGTTCGCTGGTCCCCGGACACTGCGCACCACAAGTCAGAGAGGCTGCGCTTTATGTCTTCGTCCCCCTCGAACCTGCGACCACAGCTGCAGCCGAAGCATTTCGAAGGTCGAACATCCCGCGGTATTAGCTAAACTTGCACAGACGAAGTAGGCGGAATCGTGTAAACGTATCGAGTGCACAGCCTTTATTGAAACAGGGCTCTACAGCTATGCCTGCTCCTGCAACCCTGAGCTCATGTCAGGACACGCAAAGGTCAATGAAGAAAGCAGTCACATGCGGATACCATGTTTCGGGCAGGACATTAAGTTCGAGTCAAGTGCCATGATCCGTAAGCATACTGAAGAAAAGATTGTGCGCCTGACCTAAGAGTTCCTGCAAACCAGCATCTGCCATAAGAAGTTGCACCGCAAATGCCCGCTCCAACATCAGCATATGAGGAATGGCCCGGCCCAAACTATCGTGCTGAGTAAGCATGTCCCATGACAGCTACACGTCTGATGCCCCTCCGCACGATGCACCCTATGAACGCTGTATGATGCGCCGCACCGACAGACCAGGGCAGTAAGTAGCCATGGAACGCCAGGTCCGACGGCGCAGATATCGCCACTCTGTGGGAACACATACTTTGGGAGGTTTACTTTACGTATCGACAACAGCATCAGCGAAATTTGTGCCTTCGTTCTCTGTCTGGCTAACTCGAGGGGCATCGGGTGTGGTAAACGGGGTTGGGGTCCATCGAAGCATGCTGCACCTCCTAAACCATGCAAAACACTTCGGTTCCACAGAAGACCTCACATGGGGTCAGGTTTGTACTTGTATGTATGTTGAGAATGTGCACTCATCACGTATGGCAATACATGTCGAACCTTACATCACATTAAGCTCCTCACAAATACGCTTCGCATCACTTTGGAGTCTCCTATGAGCTATGCTTGGGGATCCCCGGTCCTGCGAGGTGATCCCAACTTTGGGGAACCTGGGCAAATAGCCCAAGTGGGCTCGCAAGCGAGAGGCAAAGGAAACAGAAGCTTGGGGGACGCAGATCGTCAGCTTGCTTGTCAGGTTCTGAAATCTTGGACCATGTGTGCGGTCGAGATGCCCTCAGCGTACGGCGGGCTCTTTGGCTCCGTCGGTCCGACTTGCATGTCGGGGATTTGGACCAGCCTCTGCCGGGACAGGATATCCATCAGCCAAATTATGATATGACCTCGTCTAGCGGCCAGCGCGGGCAGCCACAGGCAACACCAAGTGGCTGTTCCAGTACGCCGACTCGATTGCGCAGTCGATGGACCTCTTCACCTGACGCTTGCTGAATGCTTAGCTGCTAATGCTAAGCTTCGAACCTCTACATTCCTGTGGTTATGTGGGCATGACACCGTCAGACCACTCGGATTTTGAATCGAATTGCCCAAGCTTGGAAGTGCAAGCCAGGAGACGCAGTGATAGCACCTGGCTGATGCTAGCCGGACTCAGGCCAGTCTGGTTGCCGGCAGTAGCTGCAGGAAGCCCCCCTGCGAAGCATCTGAAAGCAGGTGTTGCTACCAAACCCCCTTGAGGCTCCACGCTCCCCCCCAGCTTGAGGCCGGCACCTGAAAACACCGGACGCGAAGTTTCGAGTAGTGCAAGCCGCCTCGGCAGAAGATGATACCCGCTAGGCCAAGCGATGCAAATCGCGTGCAGTCCCGAGCCACCCTGAACTGAGCTGAACTGTGGGCTCGCTGGATGCCGACGTGATGCTGTAACACTGCAGCGTAGGAAGACCCCAGGCCCAAGAAGACCCTACAGACCCCGGACCAAAAGGAGAAGGGCAGTGGTCCCCGAGAAGCTTCAAATCTGCGAGCCAATGCACAACACTGACACGAGGTTGACAACACTGAGCCTGCTACTGCTTCCCGGCTACGTACGTCTGCTCCGTAAAAGCCCCTTTCATCCCAGTTGCTCTTCCAAGCATGCACCCTCGAGGGCCGCCACACGACCAACCAGAGCCGCATCCTCGAGGGCAGCAAGGCGCGAGGCCAAGTTTGAGGTGCCTCAGGCGTGGCGTTGCCGCACAGGATATGGAGACGGCGCATTGTAGACCGAAGTAATGTGTGCCAACTGGCTGATCTCAAGGTTCGACAGCTTTTCAGCAGACTCAGCTGCAGCAACCACGTCCTCACCAGCCTGGATCAGCTCTGAAACAGACCCGCTGTTAGATGAGAAGAGATCGGAGGCGACATGCCAGACTCAAAGATGCGTTGCCCCTACAATGGGACGCAGTGATGGTGTCTTCATGGTGCTCAACTGAACTCACTCCCCCGGGTGTAACGGTTTCGCCTAGATTCGAACTTCGCAGTTCTGAAAAAGCAACTCTCCACGCCTGGGAAGGGACGTCAGAGGTGCTGCTGCACAGGGAGTTGTGCTTCTGGTTCGGCGGTGGCACCAGGTCTCGGACAAGTGCAGAAGCCGAGCCCTCTTTGCTGTTTTGCAAACGGTTGAACACCAAAACACGCCACACAAGCCACGAGTCCCGAGTGACAAGTACAAAAACACCGCAGATGCACGAATCCAAGACGACTGTGCAAAGTGCCAGCTCACCCGCTTCTTCCAAATTCTGACGGCTCTTCACTTCAAGCCAGGCCTTGCACCATGTCTGTGACCTGATTCCTCATCCAGGCCCTCAGCTTGTTAAAGAACAGAAGCTTGGCACAGATCCCCTAAATACCTGCAAGGTCATGATGTAATAGTCCCGAAGGGACGCCGGAGCGCAAGAGCTCTGGGCCACTCAGCTCCTGCTCCTCGCTGCTCTGCCCGGCCTGGTCTGTAATCGCACGGATCCTTGGACAGGGACGCTGAACCGTTTTGCATTTGCTGCATCTAAGCTATTGTTGACATCGTGGCTCCTCTGCACACATGCTTATGCCACTATCTGCTCCGCTGGGCATCTGATTCTTCAACCACGAGCCCAAGCTGTCGCCTGAGTCTGCGAAGCCAACACCAATGCTAGACGGATCGAGCACAAACCGCGCTCAAGCGCACCATCACCGGTTCAGGCAGGCTCTAGGATGCTGTGATTCGAGAAGTCCTGTTAGGTCTAGTTCCCCTGAAGAGCCTGCCGGTGCAGCTTCTGGCTGTGTCTCCACCGGATCTTCGTACACCTCCTGGAATCATGACAGGGCACTTGGAGAAGTCGGGCCTCTGGAAGCATTTGGCTGAACATGGCATTGAATGTCTTAGGTAAGCAGTTAAGCTACTAACACCTCAAGACAATGTGGCTCGGTGAGCACTGCGGTAACTCACCGCAGTGCCCACCATCCGCAAAGACAGCCTTATTCATGGCGACCTGCCCCTCAATGCGGCTTATGTCCTCCTCCGCCTGCCGCGCTGCAGGAGGGTTTTCTTCCAGAGCAGTTTGACGAGCAAGTACATTCCTTCAGGGAACAGGGCCCGTCCACCGGAAAACTCATGTAGTAAAACCTTGCTTGGAAATTTTGGAAAACTATCGTCCCCACATCTCCTGAGCATCATCTCCATGGATGTCAGCTGGTTCTCGACAGGAGTTATCTTGTTTTCCACGCACTCCGAAACGAGTTGGTCCATTCGCTGGCTCATGTTTTTGTTCGCATTCTTGAGCAGCTCCTGAATCTCAACTTTTAAGCCTCGCATGTCTCCGGACAGGTCAGCTTCGAGGTTGTCGAACTTGCCCTCGATCCACTTCGCCATGTCACCCTGCGAGGTGAATTGTCCCTCACCCCAGCTCTGGACAAGCTTGGGGATCAGTGCTGCCACGGTCGGGTCCAGCTTGCTCTCGTCCTTAAATGACTGGCATGCAGCTACTCGCAAACCTAGATCATACGGTTCATACGGTGGAATCGTGTTGTGCCATGTTTCATGACATGGAACGTGCGGCAGGCGATTCACAGTACTTCGTAGCCTTCAGGCGATGTTTGCGTTTCCTCGTACCGGCAGGGTATGCCGGCAAGACAGGACGAACACAGCACCTCGGCAAAACCCACATCGAAAAGGACAGCTTACTAGCGCTTCCGCCAACTGTACAGTGTTCCATGTTTCATCCAGATCTTCAGCACTTTCGACTTTTGGGGGTTCTTCCCTTGTAGACTCCTGGGCTCGTTTCTGCTAGGAAGCCCACCTTCGCGGTTCCGGCAAAGATACCCAAAGATCGGTCGAGGCTGTCAGCTTACAGGCAGATGCCTTGTTCTCATTAGCCTAAAGTCGTTTAGTGTTCAAGAAGGAGCATGTGCTCTATCAATGCAGTTGGCAGCATGCAGAAACAGTCTTGATGTATTTTTCACAAGGGACTCGGCTGCTGCCCTTACTGCCCAGCTTGATGCAATAACATCGGTAAGCCGTAAGCTGAGAGATGACTTTATTGGATCCAAGCCTCGTTTGCGAAGCGGTGTTCCAAGTCCTCTACTTGGTGGTAGAATTCTTCCACGGATTTGCCAAGGCGTTTGTCCATTGCTTTGAGCCTATCCTCCATGATTCGGAGGCGCTCATCCAACGTATCGCCTGAGTCTGCGAACACATGTGCCTTGTAATCAGTGTACTCGGTTCCCTAGCCACACAGCCCAGCTCATCAAGTTGAGCCACTTATCGCGGTTATCTTGCGCGTGATACCCACCATCTCCTGACACGCAGGGACCTTATACTGACCTCAATCCCCTAAGAGTGCTTTGCATGCCAGACCTTTCACCATGGCTCTTGCGGCCTCGTGCAGCGACTCTCGGACAGCCTTTGTGGCCGAGCTGGCTGCCACAGCCTCTGCCTCAGAAGTGACAGCAAGTGCAACAAGTGTGGCTCCCCGGGCCTTGCTCCATGAGTGCTCTTGAGCAGAAATGCCGCCAAGATGCTTGTTGCAAAAGCTCGGTGTGGTCCTTCTGCTGGATGGCTCGTGCTGCTGCTTCCAGCTCCCGCCGAACACTGTCGATGTTCATGTCCAGCAAGTGTCTGGAGGCGTGTTGTTTTTGTTCCACCTGTGCCTGGGACAACCACGGTGCTGCGAGTAAATTTTGGCACCACGGTGCCGTGCAAATCAGAATTCAAAGCAAGAGGGGCATCTGGCCTGAAAGGCAGTCAAGGCTTCTTCCAGGAAATCCAGCCGAGCATCAAAACCTGAGATTCACAGCGATCACCGTTAATCCTCCTATTTTTCCCGCCCGCCTGGCTAGGACGAACCTACGATGCAATCCTCCTATCAGTTGATTAGAAACGATTATTGAGCTTCTTTCTCGAGCCTCTCACGCTGATTGTGTCAAGTTTTCACACACGTCCAGAAAGAGCGCGTCAGCTATTTTATCCTGCACTGTGGGGCACCATTCAAAAGGGGTCTTCTGCATAAATATGCAACTGTGCCGAACCACGAACTCCTGCCGAACAGTTTGTCCAGACTGGACTTCTTGGATCTTGCGTCCATGCATGTGCAGCATTTGCCGGAAGCAACGCCGCGTAAATCTCCAGTGCTGCCTGGTTGTAACAACCCGCGGCACCTTCTGTAACGGCCTGTGCCCTGCTCACGGCCACGACCATTTTGTGAAAATCTACCATAATCCACCTTCCATCACTTGTTGACAAGTGGCTTGAGCAAAGGGCCGCCTTGGCCGCAGAAGGCCTTTACACATTTCGTGCAAAGCCGTGCAGCATGTGGCTGCGTGAGCATGCAATGAATTGGGCTTTCGGCTTTGAAGGGCCGTGCTACCGGCCTGCTGCGAAAGGTCGCTGAAAAGCCCTTGTTGGTCAAGAAAAACAGGCCGAGCCCTGGTGACCCTGGTGGTCCCGGGTGTCGGCGCAACGCGGCGCAGGTCAAGGCGTTCCGCGACGTGAGGCACTGCCTCGCACCCAAAAATGCCAAGATCGTGTCGCGATCTCGGCTAAACCTGGAACTGTACATGAAACAGGCTTTAGCAATGATTTCCTGCTCTTCAACTAGAGCATTCAGATTAGACAGGGTGCCAATTGCATATGACATTCAGGAAAGCATCGCCTGTGGCCTGCTCATCTGCTTCAGCCTGTAAGGACTGAAGTGACTGAATCTTGTGCCAAAGCTTGCGGCAAGGCCGTCTTAGCGTACTCATCGAAAGCCTGTCGCGGCTCCCGATCGACCGTGACCAAGCCCCACCACTCTTCGTTGAAGGTCTTGTCTGGGTAGGGTCCACCACCTGGTGCAATCCCGCCGGTGTCATGGACCCTGGGGCTGCCACTACCATCCTTCCACCACTCGTCCGCGAACTCGAAAACAAATCCTCCAATGCAAGCGCCGGGCCCGACCACGGAGGACTCGCTGATGATCTCCTCTGTGAGCTCCCGAGTGGCCCTCGCCTGTGATTCAGGATCTTCTCGGCTGATCTTCGCATTGAAGGCATCAGCACCGTACTCTCCCAAATACATGGGTTTGTCAGAGACTCTTTCGTATTGACTGAACATGTTGCCGAAGCTGATGCCCCGATACGTGTTGATACCCCAAATGTCAATCTCATCCCGAAGCTGGTCAACGGCCTCATCAAATTTGCCGACAACCTCTCCATAGATCGACGAGATGGGGTGTTCAGTGTCAACACTTCTCACAATCTCAGCAACTTCACGGACACGAGCAATGCAGTCGCGGAAACTCATGCCGACATACAGACCGTTGTAATTCCATTCGTTTCCGATACTCCACATCAGGATGGCCGGATGATCCTTTGAGGCTCGTACGGCCTCTGCCGCCGAGCTTGCCGATGATCCACCATAATTGTAGACACTGTTCACGACCCAAATCCCTTTGCTCCAGAGCGTGTCCAGCACCTTCTTGTCTGTGATCGCTTCGTAGGTCCTGACAGCATTGATTCCCATGCGCTGCATCAGCGCCGCGTCCTGCTCAACCAGCCCAGCGAAGTCTAGATCGCGCGGGTGGGAGCCACCCTTCGGCACCGGGTTCCATGCAACACCCTTCATGTGGATCGGCTTGCCGTCGACGAGCAGCTGCTTTCCGACAACCTGAATCCTTCTGTTCGGGGATGGTGTGGGCGGAGCAGTGGTAGCCGGAGGAGCAGGGCAAGAGGCCGGTGCATCCGGCTTGACGCACTTGCACAGCATGTCCGATGTCCCGGAAATGGCTTGATTGCAGGGTTGTGTGTACTCCACGTCGCAGCTTTCCGCCTTCTCCTCCGCCGCTGCCACGCATACGTGCCCAAAGCTCTCACAGTACCTGTCACAACGGCCATTGTACGGTGCGGTGAGCACCAGGGCCATGCAGTCTGCGCAAGTGACGCCATTGTCGACGTTCGGCCAAGTGTCGAAAGAGCTGCAACATGTCTCAGCAGCTGGTGGTGCTGTGGTGGATGTGCTCATCGTAGTCGTAGTGGTAGTTGTAGCAGGAGCAGGGCAAGAGGCCGGTGCATCCGGCTTGACGCACTTGCACAGCATGTCCGATGTCCCGGAAACGGCTTGATCACAGGGTTGTGTGTACTCCACGTCGCAGCTTTCCGCCTTCTCCTCCGCCGCTGCCACGCACACATGCCCAAAGCTCTCGCAGTACTTGTCACAACGGCCGTTGTAAGGGGCGGTGAGCACCAGGGCCATGCAGTCTGTACAGGTGACGCCATTGTCCACATCCGGCCACCTGGTGAACGCGCTGCAGCACGAGCTTTCTGGTGGAGGAGCAGGGCAAGAGGCCGGTGCATCCGGCTTGACGCACTTGCACAGCATGTCCGATGTCCCGGAAATGGCTTGATTGCAGGGTTGTGTGTACTCCACGTCGCAGCTTTCCGCCTTCTCCTCCGCCGCTGCCAGGCACACATGCCCAAAGCTCTCACAGTACCTGTCACAACGGCCATTGTACGGTGCGGTGAGCACCAGGGCCATGCAGTCTTCACAAGTGACGCCATTGTCGACGTTCGGCCAAGTGTCGAAAGAGCTGCAGCATCCATCGCTGACTGCTTGAGCTTTTCCAAGCTCAGATGCCCGGCTGGCACGAAATTTCACATCATCTTTCAGCTGCAGCCACGACAGACCCTTGTCAGGACATCGAGTTCCTTGCGACCGGCAGCTTTCCTGTGCAGGTGCATCTGCTGCCATGGCAGCCACGGCTGTGCCGAGGCACAGCAGTCGCAGGAACGGCATGGCTGACTTGCTAGGACGTGGAGAGCAAGCCGTGTTGTGTTGTCGCGTCTTGAGACTTGAATGTCTAGTGCCATGGGACCTGCTCATACGCACTCACACGATCAAGGCTTTGCAGGGGCGTACCAGGGTGCAGCCGAGTTGCGTGCTGCGAAGTCTGGACCTGTCAGGCCGCAAGATGCTTGTCCGCTAAGCCCTGGCAACCAACACACAGACACACGCTCGGGCGCCACAAACCACGTGTTGGCACACACTGGCCGGAAGCACACACCAGATTTGGCCTTGAGCTCTTCGCGTGGTTTCTTCCCTGTGCGTCTTGACAAAGGCCATGGCGCACAGTGAGCCTACGCATAAACCTTCAAGCGGCCGCTTGCTTCCAGGGCTAGAGTCTACGGACTTTGATCAGCTTCGGGTGCTCTTTTCGCGTTGGGTCTGCAATCAACTTGAGCCCACTTTACTTGCTTGCCATGAAATGCGCACACAAATTCTCCCTGTGAAGCAGACGACGGAGACCCATCTGGCATGTACTGGGCCCTCACCTTCCTGGAAGAAGTGATCCCACAGGATCGCCTTTGAGCAACTCGGAACTGTTAACCTCTATGGTGCTACACATTGCTACACGCGACATGTCAAGCGATGGCCAAGCAAAAAACGCCGAGTCGGAGGCAAGGGGTGTCAGGGGCATGCTCCCTGCGAACAGAGTCAGCCTCGGCACTGGCAGGGATTTGCGTTTGCTTCATGTCAAACCCTGTCGTCACCGGCAAACCTGCCACAAGTGAAGTCCAGAGCATTCCAGAGCGCCAGGCAGCCACTCCGTGAAGAGCAGACCTGGAGCAAAATGCTCACTCGGAGGGCGCGGGGGTTCGTGGAGCCCTTTGGTCAAACTCTGAGTTACCCACTCAGAGAGTTTTGCATGTGCTCAGCCAAATGGGCAGAAAGGTCGGGCCTGAAGCTGCCCACGGATTTCGAGAAGCTCAAAAAACTTCACAACTCTCCATCACTCTTGCCATTCGTTGTGGTCGGGCAACAGTCGGGCAATGAGCCAGATGTCACAGGAGGTCATCTTTTGTCTCTGAGAGCAGAAACATTTCTTGATGTACGAGCTGAGCAATCGTGAAGGAGCGTACCTGGCATCTGTGCCGGTCTGTGGTGCTTCTGAACAGCATCAGACTCGCAAACCACCAGGGGCTGTGCCTTCAATCCGTGCATATCGGGAGCTTCAAACATGCTACGCAGGTCGTAGTTGTGAACCTCAAAAGTCTCGCGATGACGGACGCAACAGAGCAAAGAATGACAAAGGAGTGACCGTTGACTTCCGACCGGGCCAGGGTCGTGTGATTCAAATCGTGTACCGTGGGAGGCTAGGCCCGGCTAGGCAGTTCTTCGGACAGGCTCGCAGTCGGAGCGCGCACTGCTAGCTGCTACCACTGGTCACTATATACCTGCCGAGTCCTTAGCCGCCTGAGCCTGAGCCTTGGTCAGGAAAGCCGATGGCATCGAAAAGACAGGTGGGATGATACCCTCCGGTTGTAATATCCAGAAGCTTCACATTGCGTCCCTCCAGAAATTCAGTAGGTCACCTGTATTGCGTATTGCGACTCCTTGAACCATGCCGACGGGGTGTTCAGTATGGCACATGGTCATGGGTCTCTGAGCTGCAAGTCTTTTACGGGCCATGTCGGGCTTGAGGTCGCCGAGACAGCAGACTTGGAAGTTCGAAGATTCGTGATCACCCTTGGCATCTGACCCCAGATAGGCCATGCAACATTAGGCAAAAGCGATCGTACTCTTGGAGAAGTCGTCCATTCCAGCAAACCACATAAGCGCTCAATCTCACAACACAATCACAGTCCCATCTGACAACACTTATGGTGCAAGCCGGAAGCCGTGGCCACGAAGAGCCAGAACACTGCCTGACACAAAGCAGACTCATGCATTCAGTATGTGCAGCTTGCACATTGCAAAGCCTGTCTTGCAGCTGCCTCTTCAGCCATGCAGTGCCAAAGAAGTGCAGTGACGATGAAATTCATGCCTCCGTATGCAGATGACATTGTCGCATGTTTCCTTCTGGGGATGCAAGGCATCGTGCCGCCGCTTTGCCGAGCTTCTGAGATGCCAGCCCTGGACATACCCCACTGCCTCGCTCCGGCGGGAAGTTTTTCGACCTCAACGACAAAACGCGCTTGCACGGTGCGGTGATCGCCGTCCGCTTGATGCAGAAGGTTTGTAATGCCTACTAGTCCTCACGACATCTAATCATCAAGTCGTCCAAGTCCGGAACGCCCAACAGCACCTGCCACCTGCGCAGCATTACAAATTATCGGCAATCGACTGCGGAGAGGATCTCAAGCAAGGAGTCCGCGAAAAGTGCTGCGGTGGCTGCACTGTGGCAAACTGTGAGTCCTTCTTGCATGCAAGAGCGGAAGCCATCTGCAGCCATCTCTTCAGCACAGCAACGACTAAGACACACACACGCACACAAGTTTCAGTGGCCTCGGCACTGGCTTCTTGACATCCGTCCACTGCGCTCGCCTCTCATCCAAAAGACTGGCACTTGTGTGCGATGTCGCATCCTATGCCGGTCGTGCTGCAGAATATTCCGCTCTGAGAGGTCTAAACCCCAAAGTCATTGCCTGAATGTGCAGATCTCCCAAGTCTCGCCTACTACGGTAGGCGCAAGTTGGCATGCAGCGAAAAGCTTGGGCCCTCTCCTGCTGGGCTTCGTTCCCATCGAAGATGATCCAAGCCTGTTTGCAACTTGAGTCTCAAAGTGCGTCACAATCACAGCAGGTTTCATTACATCATGGTGTTCAGAAGACCCAGAACCTCGCAGCCTAACATCCTTGAATGGGTCTGCTTGCGGCTAGCACCCGCATCTCTCCTTCAGCAGGTTGGCCAGCGACCGTCGACCACCGCTGTGCTCTGAAAACATACCTGTCCACCGCACGAGCCCGAAAGAATCATGGTGGTCCTGGTGGTTTTGGGTAGCATTCCTGTATCAACGGGGCACGCAAAGATGGCCAAGTCCGATCCAAGTCGAGCTGAAGTTGCCTCTCCTGCAGCGCGGCAGGAAATGCCACTCCCAGGCAGCAAGAGGGAATCTCGAACTGCCACTGCGCCGACGCCGAGATGCGATGCCGGTACGACAGACGTCGACAGTCGGTCCTTGTCAGGCGAAAGATGTGGCGAGCCCCTGGCAGCCTCCTTCCCAGGATCCGGGTTCCCGTGCAGACATGAACCAAGAGATTTAGAGAGCGAGACTGACAGGCGAATTAAGACTAACGAGCGACATACCCGCTTGGCATCGTCAACGGCTCTGCATGGCAGGCATCAAGTACCCACGCATGTGTATGTGTGTATATATAGTACCTTTACAGATGTATACTACAGTTTCGGCGCAGGCTTGCATGCATCTTCACGCAAGGAAATCAGCAGCTCAGCAGTTGAAAACTTCGTCGCGACCTTTCACCTGCATCCACTTGTCTGCACGCCAATGGGCATACTGAAGCACGTGCAGTCTGCAGTTCGCGTGCCGGGCGAAAGGTGAAGCCCCAGCATGATGGCAGAGAACCAGAGTTGTGTTCTTGGTGTATGTACTCGTTGGTTCATCTACTTGCACTTGTATGTGCATGCTGTGCACACTGTATGTAGGCACATTTGTCCAAAATTAATGCTCTGCAATTACATTACATAGGTCTCACCCATGCATGCATATGAGCGAACACACAGACTGACATACACACAGACTTACGAAGAAGGCAACGCAATGAAGAGGCTAATAAATTAATTTTTGGATAGAGCGATTAACTGCAGTGTTTTTGGTTTCATTGCTCAAGGCATTATTTATTTCTTGGCGGGGTGCGCCTGTCTCGTTCGCTCAGGTCAGATACATTTACATCAAGTCAAAAATGTGCTTGATCTCGTTTTAAGCGGTGCCCTTCTCTGATCTGTCAGGGTTAGTCTGGTCGGCTGCAGATTCCAGCCTCCAGCAACTCCTGGTACCGCCCACCTCGGGACTTCGCCCGAGCAGCGCAACAAGGAGCAAGACATGTCACCCGTGCACACAAACTGTGCTGCAAGGCAGTTGGAGAGACCCTACACACGTGAAGTCTGAGATTCCTGCTCTGTTTCACAGAACCGACATTGGCAGCTTTGGCCTGGGTCTGCTCTACTCGCGCTGGGACTGCCGAGCAAAGCCCTCGAGGCCAGGGTAAGGCAGGTGCCCAGCGCTCGAAGCGCGCACAATGAGGCCTGCGTTTCAAGATGGCAAGGCACCGGTCTGAGTGTCACATTTTACATGCTCCCAGTTTTGCCGTCACACATCATGGGTTTGCACACGAAGAAGCCATGCCCCATCAGGTGCATTTCTCCTGCTGCCCCGGCCCCCTAGGCAAGGATGTTCTGTACTGAGCCCTGAACACATCACCGGCGCATCGCTCGCAGGAGCAAAAGGGTGCTGGCCATGCCTGAGTCTCGGTCTCTGGCTTCCAAGAGTGCCCTCACAAGACTCGAGGTTGTCGACCCCGAAGGAGCCATAATTTAGAATGCACAAACAACTTAAACTTCAGTCTGAGTTGGAATGCTCCTAAGGAGTCGCGAGATGGAAGGCCGTGCCGAAAAATGCACGACAAGTACGTGCAGGTACAGGTGTCGAACATGTCGAGCAACGATGTGTGTGGAACGGCCATGCGCTGGCAAGCCCCCTTCTCAAGGATGCCCCACTTCAAGTTGCCACCAGCTATGGGATCGTAGCCCTCAAGCCGAAGAATCAAAACAAGAATCAGCAAACCACATCGAAGCAATGACTACCATGTTCTGAGATGACGTCTCCATAGTTGTCCGGCAAGCACATAACCTGAGCGACGTGAGAAAGGCAGCAAACTGAACCAAAGTGCCTGAACCAGTCAATATCTTAAAATTGTCTTCTATGCTGATGCTGTGCGTGCCTTTTTGCTCGTTGATCCTCGTCGCTCATCTGCGTGCCAGGACGAGAAGCCAGGTCGGCACGTCACAGCTGCTTAGCCCCAGTGCTGCATGCTTACTGCTGCGCTGTATTCAACAATCACGTGAAGGACGCGGGGTCGACTTCCAGGATGGCCATGTCGTCGAAGTACGGTAGAGATGAGGGGAGGAATTCTCGAGCAGACTCGAGGTCAAAGTCAGTTGTGACCACCACGAAGAAACCCTCCTTCATTTGCCCGGGAAAGCTGCCAGGCCAATCCTCCAAGTCCGCATCTCGAATGATCTTCTTATACTCGCCTGCCTCCGTTCCCGTCTCACCTTTGAACATTGAAAAATTGAATACAGAATGAGGAAATGTTCGCTCTGCGCAAAACTTGTCTTTGAAAGCCACGGCCGTGTTTGCCATGGCGATATGCAATGGCAGTCCAGTCTTCATTGCGCTCACAACTCGTTGTCGCAGGCTTTCCTGCATTTCTTCGATGCCCATGGTCTTTCTGATCATAGTTTCTCCCATGACCCATTTGGCATCAATTTGCACGTACGCAGAGTATGTCAGGAACGTGTCAGCTTCCTTGGCATGGCCGTTGCACACCACCAGCACCGTTCTGCTCCACCGGACAACTTCTGCAATACGCGCAGGCAACTCCTCGGTTCTGAGCGCTGGACTTAGCGTGCACTGGCTCTAGTGCCGTCTACCAAGAGGCCTGTGCCCAAAACTTGGAGGTTCTCCATTCGCTCTCTCTGCCGTTGCATCCAGAGGGTCTAGCAATGCCAGGTTTTTGATTGATGACTACTACTAAGTGTCCTCGCTCTCCAAAAACTGGTAGACTGTGTTGAACTTGAACATCTTGATTGAATGTTGTCATGGCTACTCAGGAACCAGTGCCCTGCCGAGCCAAAACCAAGTCCCCTCAAGGACCCAAGGCCGAAGTTGCAACTTGCACCTGCCCTCGCCACTTCAATCTGACCTGCTAAGACTCCTCGGTTTGCCCTGAAGCCGTTTTCTGTGGAAGACGAGGCGTCCACTTCTGCCCCGACTACAGTAGGGCAGGCGAAGGACCAGACAGACTGACCCTTTGGAAAGACCAGAGAGTGCAAACACAAGCGCTATGGTCCGCACCTTGAAGCCGATAACCAGGGGCCATGCTGGAGGCTCTTGCGGCATTGGGGGTGGAGGGGGTGCTGCGGCCGTCAGTCCCAGACGATCACGAGCATCCCGAACACACGCCTGGACGAAAACCGCCAGGATGTAAGCAGTTCGGCTTTTGCCCCACAGTGCGGAAATGTCCGGGTGGCCGAGCTCTTCAAACCTCTGCAAGCTTTGCTTCGTGATGAATTCGCCTGTCTGCATCTCCAAGATCTCATTGACAAGCTGGTTGCCGGTGGAAAGTGACCGTTGCGCATTTTCCCAGCTCACATCTTTGTCGCCAACATACTCGAGCATCTGGCGAGCTGCAAGCTGCTCTTCCTCATCCATGGTCTCAGCGAGGATGCGGAGTTCCTCTGCGCAAAGGCTGGCTAAGAGCCCTTCGGCCTGCTTGGCAGTCAGAGTCACGGCCTCGCTGGGCGCCGGGACGGCCGGGACTGGAGGCTTTGTGGGCGGCTCGGGCCGAGGGGCAGAGGCTTTGCCCGCGGCTTTGGTCACTGCCTTTCCAACAGCTTTCGCTTTTGCGGCTTTGGGTGCCATCTCTGCACCGGTGCTTCAACCTACTCGCTTGAGCCGGCTGGGCTGCAGCAAGTAGATTCCTGATGCGGAAAGCTAAGGGTTCCTTCCCCTGACCCCCGAGCTGCCGGCCGGCAGCTTCTTTCAAACGGCAGCCGGCATTGCAACTCAAGGCTCGAGGCTGCTTCTTGAAGCGTTCAGGGCCGGGCAAGTTCCGCTAGCTGCTAGCCAGTGAGGGCTTGACTCAGTGCCGTTCCCAATCGAGCCACGTGACTCTGTTTCACGTGACCATCCTGCAGCACGTGTCCTGGTTCTGCTAAGCCGGCCGGCAAACCACACACGGATACCCACATGCAACTGTTTGCTGTTGTTGTCTGTGTCGGTCAGCATGTCCCGAGTTTCTTTGGTACTTGAATGTACTTGACATGTACTGTGCATTTTTGCCGCTGGGACGAGCCTAATTAGTCCAGAATCTATAGTCTATGGGAGTGAGACGCGTTGAACTGGAAAATGGAGCCTTCGCTGTGCTCCGTTCGTGTGTCTGATCAATGTCTCGAGCAGTTTCCCGCTCAAGCGTTCATGGCACTCAAGACCACTCATGACACTCGCTGCATGTTGATCCAAATCATCTACGCAGTCAGAAAGATGCCGCTACATCTCTCAGGATTTTCCATAACCTCGGCCGTGAGGCTGCATGAACAAGTGACAGGTGATTCCTTCGGGTTCTGTCGGCTCGACATGGAAGTATCCTGAACACTAATTCTGCTGAGATGCTCGGCTTTGAACATGGAATTGCGCTTGACAGTCATGTGATCCTTTGCGCGGCCCGCAGGCATGGACAGCATGACGAGACAGCCACGGCATGCATGCCTCATAAGCACCTGGAACTAAAACTTCTGCATGAGTGGATGGCGGCGGCAATACTACACCGGCGCCGGACAAACACCACCTTGATACACATCGAAGGTTTGGACTCTATCTGCCAAACTGAGCAGCGCAGTCTTTGCACTTTACGATGTTGCACCCCTTTGGGTGCTCTGTCCAGTCCTGTCACGGGTGTCGGACAAAACACAAACATGGCAGCTGGCAAAACAAAACAGCTTCGCAGTGTAACTGTGCCACAGCCTTCCATCCATCGTATGTCCAGGCCGGGAAGTGCCCAGCAAAAGCCTTGCCATCTTTTTCGATCCGGTAAGCACCTGCCAACTACAGAATCTGCTGCGGAAAATCCTCTCAGATTCTGCGGATTTTATAGATTTGGGACCGCAGCCACATGGCGTCACTGACCACAGAGGAATGACAACCGCAAGGCAAGCTGCACAACTGAACTGACCTGCACTTGGTGAGCCACCTGAGCAACACTCAGGGCTCAGGGTGCCTGCTTCAACATTTTTCTGGTGGAGCGCCGCCTGCCTTGGCTAGCTGAGGCAGTGGCAACCAGGGGGCATCTTCTCAGCTCAAAAGCCGTGAACACAAAATAATTTGGACAACAAGTCTCGACTCGTCGAGGCCTTCAAGAGTGACCCATGAATCCCAGGATCCATCTGCTGCAATTGCCTCGGAGAGTAGACTCCAGTTTTTTGAGTCTCAGTCAAAGACGTTAGTCAGCATGCGCGGCGTCGACAAGCCCTGGCGCGAAGGCATGGAAGCTTCAGCATCATCCAAGCAACCCTACCTCCGTCAATCCAGCTTTCGGGTGGGTACTAGTAGGGGGGCAGCGATTGCATCCAAGCAGCTGTCAACGGACACTTGAAGGCGTGATACCCCACCTTCTCATGGTGTGCACACCGTCTCTGTCAAGGCAAGCACGACTTTGCACCCTGCGCTCTGCTTTGAGCTTTGACTGTGCCCAGTCCCTGCCTCGATCGCATCCTGGTCCATGAGCTGGTCCTCTAGTGTGCAAAGGCTTGCAGAAACAAGATCGTTTCATTGGAAAACTCAACGGGGGCTCCTTTTGCCACATGTCCAGGGTGCGTTTTCCAATGTCTCCAGCACTCTTGTACAGCTTGAACACCATCGGGTTCCTGGATGCACGACAGATCTTGAAGTCTTCCTTCTTGCACCATCCCGGTAAAGCATCGGGCATCTTTTCTCCGGCTCGGCGCCTGCTTGTGAGGCTGTCCAACTTCAAGATCTACGAGGCCCTGCGCTATCAAAACCAATCTTTCAAACCCAAGATCCCCACAAAAGACAACAAAGCCTCGACTTACACCCGAAAATCTGGAACACGGAGCCCACCCCATTGCTATGCTTTAGTGGCACTCCACAGCATCTGCGAGCTTGAGCTTAGCTCAGCTTTGTGCTGGGTCGCCCCAGTTCTAGGATTTTCGGGCGGTTCGAACCAGCAACTGGAGAGACTCGCTATCGGGATATACGGCCCAATGATTTGCCACGAACAGTGCGCACCATCGAACGTGAAACCTGCGCGCCGCTGTCTGTCATATAGGGTGTATGGTGTAAAGTTGATTTTTCATGGCATACCACCCAACGGCATTTACAATCTTGTTGTGCCACGTGACATCTTTCCAGTCTTCGCCCTCAGGGCTCAGCCACATCTCACTTCCGCAGCCAAACGCTACCGTCCCTCCATGTGATGGTTGCTTGTGCCTCCAGAGAAACTTGGGCATGAAGAATTTTGCCCTGCACGTCAAGTTGCACCGTGTTGACCAGCTGGGTCTCAATCAATGCAGGGGGAAGACCGAAAGAGAAGTTCCAATACAGGTGGTCATCGAAAATCTCGCCCATGTGCTGGCCAGTTTGCTTGTCGTACCAAATGCCAGTCATCTGCTGAACAAGCGGTGACCGTTTCAGCTCCAGCCTGACCACATCAGCCTTGTCGTGCGTATGTACAGAAAACGAGTCCTCCTTGTCTTGCTTGCAGAGAGGGCATGCGTCAGTTTCCGCGCATTCTGGCGCACAGCGGTTACCCATTGCCGGCTAGTAATTCTTACATCTGGCAATTCTACGTAACGTGATAGGGTGAAGTACTGGAGATTCTTAAGTCTTGAGATCTTTCTGATCAAAGCCTTCATTCGAGGACACTTTGAGGCGCTTTCTCACCACCAATCAGTCCGAAAGACAGCCCTTCAACTGAAGCTGAATGAGCTCAGGGCGAGTTTGGCTTGCAGGCCCGGCTGCGGAGATCTGCTCATCACACTTGCCAATTAAGACCGACACCCCGACCGCACACAAATCGTGGAAGGGTGCTTGGCTTTATGCAGCGTTTACGTGTCTCGGAGGTGTCAAGTTTCCAGTACTCAAAGAAGGACGCCGGATCGCTTCGAAGTCTCTCCGCCCCAACTTCCTTGGCACCAGCAGTACCAACATCTCTGCGGATAACTGCGCGGACCTTGCTACGCTGGAACTGCGGCCGTGCAGTTGCAAGAGCTAACAGGACCAAGGAAAGGCGTGACCTAAAGCCAGCTCTTCGTCCGGGTGTCTGTGAACAGCGGATGTTGCGCAGCGCCCCTGAGCAGCAGCTCAACATGGAGGGCACGTTGCAGTGCAAAGCCCATTGCATGCTGCCTCGCTTGTGCTGCCAGATGCGCTACAATCGGCGAAGATTCAAGTCTTGACTCGGTTTGGCTCGTGATGCCTCTCCAGCATGATGACAGCAACCGGCTCGACACCTCGAATCCGGTCAAGGAGGCACTGGGATTCGCGACAATTTTGCCATGACTGACATGCCCAAGCCTAGCTCAGCTCGAGCTCGCTTCGCAATTTTGATGGCAATCAAGGCACCTTCCGAGCGACAGAGAGACCCGTCTTGTGGACTCAGCCAAAACCTTGACACTCCAGCACCCTCAGGAAGCTTCCAGTGTGATGTGAAGCGCTGCCGAAGCCCGGCCTATTGAATGTCCCAGCAAGGCAAAAGCGCCTCGCGCCAGCGAGTGCACTCGAAAGGGTACCGTGGAGTCTCCAGGCTCGAACTGGTCAGCTTGCCGAAACCCTGACAGCGACCCGGCAGCCCAACCTTCCTTACTAAGTCGCTTCGCGAGTTCAAGGGTTTTGTCCCCACGGCTGAAAATTTTGATCCCTGCCCTGGCCTGTGTCCATGGCGTCGCGGAATGCATCAAAGCAGTCGTCGCAGAGTTCGTCCAGAGTCCTGAGTCACGCAACTTCGCACACCAACTCTCACCGTTTCACTCACTGACACAATGAGTCACACCCTCACTCATTCCCTCCCTCGCTCACTCACTGACTCACACACACACACACACGGAATCACACGGAGAGTGGCAAATGACTCATCAATCGTACCATGTCGTAAACCGTACAATGGTACACTCTTCCAGCTGACCTGAGCCAAGGAGTCGCGATGAACCTTCATTATGTTTGAGCCGACCAGCTGAATATTTTAAATCCCTGCGGGATCACCGCTAACATGTACAGAAACACAGGACTGTGTTCCCTTCCCACGTGGTTGGTAGCTTCGTTGGACAAGGTCGCGACTATATACCTGGTCCGGCCTGAAAGCTGGTAACTTGCAACAACATACCCACTTGAGATTCCACCCACCCACCCACCCACCCACCCACCCACCCAGGGAGAGCGACACACACACACACACACACTCTCACTCTAACTCTCACTCACGCAATCACTCCCTCACTCATCCCCTCACCCACTCACTCGCTCCAGCTTCCCAGGGAGATATATAGAAGTCGACGAATCGAAACATCTTCCCATATAGAAGCATCGGACTGCAACACATTTCACCCCAGAGCTTGCATTAGCGAGTTCTTGCTCACCAGTGCCAGGCTGCACACAAAACGGCTCGGCATCACGATGTCCGTGTCCCGGAAACTCGTGCGTCGCTACTTCCACCTCTGGTGGTGCCTGTGAAAATCTGAGAATGATACGACACAAATAGCACGACCAACTGCGCTCCTGGTCCTCAAAAGAACTGTGGACTCAACTTCCGTCTCAGTTGTGGACAGAAACCCCGCAAGGCCAGGGCCTCCTCCTCCAAATTGCACCAGTCCTGGATGCAGCTTTTTCATGCTTTGGAAGGTCGTACGAAGGAGCTGGTGGTGCAACCACTTTCTGACAGGCGAGGAATGAGGCTCGACAGGAAACTTGCTCAGAGTTTGAGTGGGTATGACAAACGACGGCACTGTGACACCCCGGCCACGCTGTAAGCGTCGGCAGCGCCGTGGATGCAAAGGAGGCGCAACACAGGCGACCTGCGGCAGTTGAGCTTGTAATCACATCCTGCGACCTTAGCCGCACACTACCATTTCTGACTACTGCCACGCCGGCTCCGACACTCATGGCCTTTCGGTGACCGGCTCTCCATTGTAAGGGGCCAGTGTCTTCTTCACGCGATCAGGCAAGCGCGAGAAATCTGGGAGCTGGTGTGTCCTCGATGGAGTCTCTTCAACAGCAGGAATCCAAGACAAGGCAGGGCAGGAGTGCTCACAACTGCAGCCTTTCATTACTAGTACCTGATGTTCAACGATGCAACTAACTCACACTGCCCACATGCCGCATGGTCTAGAATCTAGATGTGCGCTTCGCAGTCCTTCGCATCTTTGGCAGGACTGTCCCCCTAACGGGCTGCCGATTCTCGACAAAGTTACCGGCAACTGCCTGGCAAATCGGGCATTGAAGGCAATTACTCGTCAATGACAGCTGGCATGCATGGCAGCATCACCTCGCCCTCTTGCACTCTCTTGCTGATCTCCTCGTCCAGGTCATCGAAATCCATTGCTGCAGTCGTCGGATACTAACGTACAACAGGCTGGTTTCTTCTGCTAACGGATCTCACTAAAACCGAAGGACTGATGCATCTAACACGTGGACGCTGTGAAGTTGCTGTCCCCTTCAGACTTCAGAGGGAATCAATCATTTGTTTCAAGCTCAGGCGCTGCATCAGATGCACTCACTTGCATGGGTGGGCAGTTGCAGCCTCAAGCTGGCAGTGACTGGGCAGTGTTCTGGAATGAGAGGCCCTAAATATCTCAAAAAGAGAGGCCCTTAACGCCTGTGTGTGCTGTGCTTGCACTGCCTTTCGAGCGAATCGGCTCAGTCAACGCGTTTCTATGCTGAGCTGCTTCAGAAGTCCTTGGTTCTGCCTCTGGCGACATCCGGATTTCAGGGCAGG